CGCGAAATTTTGGAGGTGAAACACAGAAGAGCTAAAACAAAAAGAATAAAAGCCATAGTCAACTGAAATCCAGAATTGAAAAATACGGGAGGAAGCCCCAAAAAACCGATGGAAAAACATCATTAAAGGGAACCTATTATACGAAATGAGAGTTACAGACTGGGAACTGAGAAGAATGAACACAGGACCGACGAAGAAGCTTATAGTGTTGGCTGAAAAAGCTCGCCTAAGGAACCGTGAAGCGAAAGAAGAATTTAAATTTTAAGTATATTCTGAACATTTTCATAATATTTTGTTGAAAAAAATATTTTTTTTTTTAATTTGAAATATTATTTAAGATAATCGTCGAAACTCGATAAAACTACAAACGTTATTGCAAACGTTACGACGTTGGTGCTTACCAATGACCGATCACACAACGAATGGTAATTGGTAAGATACGTTTCTACGACACTTCCACTACCACTTCCATATTGACAATATTGTTCACTTATTACTCATGAATCGGTATGACTAAATAAAATAAATTTTTGATAAACTATTGATATTTATTAAACCCACTGAGATAAGTATCATTATCTATTACACGTTCAATTCAAAATCGAATATCAATACCTACCTGATATTATAATAATGTAAAACCAGAATCATTTACAATAATTTATTTTTGATTAGCACATAATAAGTGTTAAAAATATATATGCATACATTTTCATCCACCCTTCAAAATGTAAATGAAACAATTACCTATGTTTCAATAAATAATTATTAAATTATAATGAATACTACAAAAATATAACAACAATTGAGTACCTAGGTAAATAATTAAAAACTATGAATCCATCATTCATCTGTTGAAATAGTATAACTCTGTTTTAAGATTAAATGAAAATTAGATGTATATTTTTAAAACTATATAAAGCCGTAAAATATTTTTTAATTTACCATAAAGTAAAAAATAAGAAAAATAACTTTTCACAGAGAGGACTAATTTAAAATCAATATATAAAGTTATGTGGAAAAAAATATAAAGTTGAAAATGTGTACAATTTGTGATTAACACAAATTATTGATTTCATAATGGTTTTTTATAAACCTAATATATTCCAATGAACATATTAATACAATCTCATCTTGTTTTACATAAAAAACGAATAGTTATAAAAAAATACATATGATTGATACATCAGCCATGTTGTATTATACTTATTCGGGATATTTTTTTTTCGTTTAAATCAATGATATTCTTACTATTGCATAAGTGTAATATTATATTGGTAGTTATTATTAGTGCTAATCAATTTTATAGAGTTAAATTACTAACAGTATTGATACTCTTCTGTTATTTACCATCATAATTTAACCGATCAAAAACTGTAATATAATTGTACTGTAGTTACCTAATAATAGCTAACTCAAACTTTAAAATATATTAATATTAACTATCCATTTAAAATGCACTTGATATATAATTTACTCTAAATGCAACTACTGTCAATAAAATCCTAAACTGCACTAACAGTACACTTAACTAGGTAGTACTCGCATAACTAATATTGCTAGTAATATTACAGGGGAGGGCACAATCCAGGTAGCACCCCGGGCCCCCATTCGTATTTATAATACAGGTCCCGATTACCCCATTTTCGGGCCCTTTTCTTCTTTTTAACTCTTATTGTAAATATGTAGAACTCTTTCCTAATTTTAGTAAGTTTAAAAAAAAATTTACGGGAACCTAATTAATTTTGCACCCTGGACTAAAAGTAGCCAGTCCACCCCTATTAATATAAAATATAATAACCATATAATAATATTCGTAGGTATGAGTGAATAAATCGTGTAAGTAACAAGCTTATTGGCAGCATTAATAGGTAGGTATAATATTATGTACCTATATACTTTATTAACAATAGCATAGTAAATCATACAAAATATTACAAATACTTTAAAAACAACGATATTGTATTCAATATAATAAAATTATACTGTTAGTTATAATGCCTGTGCCTTGTTACACAAATAGATCACGTATGACGCTCTATCTCGATATAGTGGTCACGTTTTATTGCCGATCAAAATAGTTATCCCTTAAAATCCTTAGTTATCTTATAGTTCGTATGGTTATAATTCCAATAGATGGATTAAATATTGACAACAACAATTTTCATTTAATCTGGTTATAAAATAATAAATGTTCAAAAGTTTACATACTATTTGGTATATTAAAGGGTATGTAATACACATATTATGTACCCACTATATGGTATACAAATAAAATGTAATATCTGTGTTAAGCTCTATACTCTTGTATGAAACACTTAATAGTGTAATGGTGCACCGAAATGATAAAATTTAATTTGCTGTTTTGCAGGAAGTTATTTTATCGAAAATAATAAAATTAATAAATCGGAAGTAGTGAATATTTTTGTAAACATTAAAAAGATACGGTATTTTTAATAACCATCGCCTATTGTTTTTAAATAAAATGAGACTAATATTAAATTATAATAATATTTAGATATTAAATATGCGATTTTCAATAATATTGCTGTCATTATTTCAGTTAAACTGCAGTAAACATCCAATACCTTCCTAATATTTGATGAAAAAAAATGCACAGAAAGATCATTAAAAAAAAAAAAAAATGGACCTCGTTACAGAGGGGGCATGCTCAATTTATTAAACGGCTATATATATCACATACATAAAACATAATAATATAAGGTTTGACACCACCATCTCTTCGATGTTGCTCGACAGTGGTCGAAGAAATGCATTTTAATAATGTATGTTAGGTAGGTACCTATACTGTTTTGTAATGACATCGATATTATAATACTGTCCGTCAACCACACACAGTCGTAGAATTTGATTACATATAAATATTTAATCGTAATCTACACAAATAAAGGTGAGCACATAACATACCTATAATGACTATAATTTGTCGGTATTAAAATCCTCAATAAAACAAAAACTAACTAAACACTCGAGTGTTAGAATATTAATTAAAACAAACGAGAATATTAATATTATCTAGATGAAAACGTAAATATCTGGATAGCATCCACAGTGTGGATATATTGGAGTTGTGTATATTCATCTTCCTTCGAATACTTAGGTGCGGGATAATGGTGTATTATATGAATATTAATGGGATATTTAAGTAAAATCAATGACAAATTATTTTTATGACGCCCTTGTAGCCTACAGCCCTAAAATAATATTCATAAGTTATTATAACTTTAAGTCTGTACCTATTTAGAGAGAAAATAATATAATACCTATTACAAAACTTTTTCTCGAATCAAAATAGTACCTACCTATGACAAAACCAAATAAAAAATGGTAATATTCAAAATTACCGACCAAAGTAATAGGTAGGTAGGTAGATCTTCAAAATTAATTTTTTCAGGTCCGTAATCTATATTTTCATCAATGCGATATGAAGCCAAAAATAAAGAACTTAAAGATGCGGCTAAATAGATCTCTGAAAAACATTTAGTACACTTTGTCTGTAAACAGCAATTTCAATTATTATTATTATTAATTTTTACCCTTTTAAAATGTGTAGGTACACAATTCAAATACCTACTATATTAGGCCGTGTCGTAACCTTAAATTGTGAGCTGGCATATTCTAGCTGGCTATTCTTACATTATAAATTAAAATCAATTTCTTAAATAAAAAGTTTAACTTTTGTGTTGGTAATTACATGTGTATTCTGGGTAAACATCTAAGGTATAAGTTATAATTGTAAAAACATGTGTTTAATTATTGTCTATTGATGCAAATCAGGTAGTTCTGATTCGTATACTATTCATAACTAAATTGTAAAGTACAACTGTGGAAGAGCTACTTTAAAATGTAGTTTGATTAACTAAATCGTTTAGTATTCAGTACTGAGGTCTTTATAGATTAAGTATTCCTATAACTAAATTGTGTAGTAGTAGCTACTGTAAACAGGCCCTCATCTACGCATGTGCAAGCGATGCACAAGCACTAGGCATAGGGCCTCCTTCCAGTTTTGTACCTCCATACCAAAAGAAAAAAATGCTATTTTAAAGTATTTTTAGTATGAGCAATAATATTGTGGAATAGTGTAAAAATATTAATTTATATACTCCTTAATATATATTTATTGTTTATAATTTTTACCATAATGATAAATAAATATGCTAAATCATGCACACTTAGCCAAATATGCAAAAATATGCAATATACATTTTTGTATTTATATTGTATGTATACAAATAATATACAAATTTTTATCGAATCAGATTTTTATTAGTTTCCTGAGAAATATGTAAATGCATTAAGTTCTGAGCCATGGTAATAATGTTTAAATACAATAAAAACCATTTACCAACAACTAATAAAAACAGTCGTGAGTGTCAATGTAAAACTATTATCAAGTGTTTACTGAATAAATACTAATTAATATTTAATAACAATAGTATCATACTATCATCTGTCAAGTCATAAAATTATACTCATTTTAAATATTTAGTTGTTTAATTTATAATTTAATTTCTTTCAATTTATAATGTTATTCAAAAAACTGGTTCACTAACAAAAAAACCTAGAAAAATAATACAAATATAATACATAATAACATAATACTAATATATATATATATATTTAATAATTAATGTATATAGTATTATAGTTACATTATAATTCATTAATTTTAAATTATTATCCAAATTTTTTTTAAAAAGAGCTTCAAAGTTAATAGTCCACATGGCCTCTATTTCTTTAAATCAGGGCCGGACTATAAAATGTAGGTTTATTAACTAAAACGTTTTGTATTCAGTACTAAGTGCTTGAAACTTTTAAAGATATGCATTCAAAGACTAAAATTACAAAAAAGAAAAAAGTAATTTGTTATTTATAAACTGCTAGTATAATAATTATAATATAATACTAGATTGTTATTCCATAAGAAAATAATTCACGGAAGCGTATTTTGTAGGGCAACACAAATAACTGCCACAAATTCAATTGAAGTTGAATGAATTGGGAGCATATTCCAGCAATAATATCAATATATGTGCATCAGCCATTTGCAGCAACGTTCTCCTTGACAATAGATCTGCAACAATGAATTATTTTTTTATTATTTCCTGCAGTCAGCAGAAGTTGTTAGCTATAAACTGTCAATATTTTCAGATGTACATTCATCACATATAAATTTAATAACATGATACTACAAAAAGTCAACATATTACAGACCTCGTTACAGACATTACAAGGAATGGGATATTTTACTTTATAAATCAACAGAACCGATTTTTATGTTTATTACATTAATTTTATTTATTTAATTTTACCCCGCATATCCTTTGGAGGAACTTTAAGATAGGTACTCAACTGTTTTCTATGTCAAAATATATGATCATTATAATATTTTTATAATAAATATATATAATTTAATTAGTATATAATATTTTATAATCAGCACTTTCAATTTTATATTCAGGTAGGTAGAAATAAATTGACCGCAAACGACACAAAAAAAGGCAAGAGGTCCCAACCGCTATTTAATTTAGTAAACAATCTTTAAGATGATGTCACACCCGCATGTGTTGTCTCCGTCTTACAAATGTACAACATAGCAAAAACCATTTTGTGTGGGACAACTTTTCTCGCACCATATTTGTTGTAGAACTACCAAATTTTCACAACACGTAAAGAAGAACTTTATCTGTGCAACTGTCTGCTCTTTTTTTTTAATAGCACTATCTTATCATTTTTTGTAAGCAAATGAAAAAAAAAAAACAAAAAAACCAAATGTTTAGAAGCAAATAACTTTTATTATATTTATGTTATCTAAAATATGCTGTTGCATATAATAATTTTCCACCCTATATGTTCAGAAATTTTGGAGCCACTACTAACACAGAAAGATAGAAGTTAGCAAAACAGTTTTGCTTTGTTGTACATTTGTAAGACAGACACAACACATGCTTGTGTGACATCCTCTTAAGGGTTTTAAATTATATTGTTTTAATATCAAAAAATTATATTTTATTGTAAAATATTTTTCTTTTTCATTTTTACTTACAGTAGGTAGGAATATAAAAAAAAATTACAGCTATTTTTATGCATCTAGATTGGACTGATAGGAAGGTACTATTAAGTAATATAGTTATCTAAATATTTGTTGAATATTTATTTAGTTTGAAACAATTTAGTAAAATTATCAAGATTGATTAGCACCTTTTATTTTGCTTTTATTGAATTTTAATTAAGTTATAAATGTCAAATACAACTGTGCAAATATAAAAATACTTATTGTTATTAAATATTATAAAATATTATATTATTAATTAATATTATATTATATTATTAAATATTTTAAGATCCTGAATAATTATGAAGGTATTCAGTTTTTCAGTCGGTTTTGCCCCGTGTTCCCTAAACTCTAAAGTATTTGCCCAAAATATTATACTGACCTCGTAGTGAGTCACAGACATACACGAATTAAAACTTACCTTCTTCGTTTCTGTCGTCCGAGCTTCCACTTAAGTGGAGCTTATTTTGGTCCAAGTTGGGTTTGAGGTTGCGGCTACGGCGTACCTCCTCTACATCACAGCTGCAAATTGTTGTAAGTTCCTCCGAGGATGATCCATATTCATTCTTCTTAAATTTGATAGACTGAAAATAAGAATACAAAGAACCATAAGTTAATGCGAGTTTCGAGTTGAGTACCTCGTAATAATAAACTAACATTATCTGAATTGTTATTTGCAAAGATCCCAGATCAGCCACTTTATATGGGTACGTAATAATTCTTGAGTATATAAGGTCAGCAAAGTGCTCTGTATTAAATGCAGCCGTTTTTATTTTCTACCCTAAACAAAAACAATTAACTGTTTTATTTATGTATGAACATCAATATTGATTATCAAATTCAAATTGATATATTCAACAACATTGGATATTCACCCGAGTTTTCCTAATGTAACAATTTTATTATTTTGTTTTAATTAATTAGAAAATTATAACATGCACTTATAGAAAATTTTAAGTAGGTACCTATCTGGTAAATATTAAAATATATCCTGTACGACACTGTTTGACAATATTTACTGCTGATGGGCACCTTCAGGATCACATTTAAGGGGGAGGCACTGGCTACAATTGTCCCGGGCGCCAAAATGTTGTGGTAGGAAATTTGTTCACTTGTGAATTATTAAAACTTTTAATATTGAAATTATTTTAAGAACAGTATCATAGGTATAATATAATATAACGCTGTTTGAAATTCGAGCAACTTTGTATTTATATTTTATAATGTAGCTATAATGTATTTATAGCAATATAGCTATAAGCATTTGAGAATTATTAACACCTTATAATTAATTATTCCTTAAGAGGGCCCTACACTCGCATGTGTTCTCTCTGTTGTAGAAACGCATAACATAGACAATTGTACGCTCAGCAGATCACAATTAGCTCTGTTGGTTTAAAAATTAGAGTGAATTGACCTTTTATAAAATTTAAAAATTAAAAGATTATTATCTAGTGACCCTCAAGATCTTTCAAATAACTTTTTCTTGTTTTGTAATAAAATCACAATCAATATCATAAAAAATATTTAAAATACTTGGTTGAAGTCTTGATTCTAGGTCCAAAGAAAATACCACTAAATATTTAACAATTCAACTATAGATTAAATAAGATTGTTTTAAGTGGAATAATGTTCCATACTCAGATTTATTTTAGACGTCAACATAAACATTATACAACAGTATTAAATATATAAATTTTAGTTACTTTGTAGTTTGTCCAAAAGTTTTTGGTAATGGAACAATGATTTCTGCATCTGATTCATTGGACAACACCGATGAAGATTTTTGAAAACCTAATTTATAATGTTTTGTTAAAAAAGTTATACCTATACTGCATTAAAAACATATCCAAAATAAAATAATGTACTTATACTTACATAATACGTTATCCATAATGACTTCAATTTCTTCGTCAGAAACTTCAGACTTAATTGATGGAAATAAGCATGATCCAGAATCTAATTTATAATGTTTTGATGTATAAGTTATAAACTGTATTTGTAATAAAATAAAATAATGTACTTACTCTCGGATAATACATCATCCATAACAACTTCAATTTCTTCAACAGAAACTTCAGACTATACAGATTCTATATTAGTTGCCACAGTTAAATTAGGTACAGCCAACTTGTTTAGCATCTATTTTCACCTAACAATACTAGGTCTGCAGTCTGTACTTACTACGTATAATTGACTGTTGACTTGGCAAGAAATTTAGTTGATATTGTTGCACAGCATTTACCCATAAACGGCAAATATTATCTTTAGGAAACCTAATATACAAATAAAACATCAAGTAAATTAAATATGTAATATGCATGAATATAATTATTATGTAATGTAATATAAAAATTAATAGTAATATTTACACATGCACTTTTGACCCTTTGATAGCAGTTGTCTTACAACCCTTTACTTCATATTTGTTGACCATGGTTCACCAAATGTACTTAAAATATTTTGTATTCCAAATAATGAATCAATCAATTGTGTCAATTTTCAACAGTAAAAGCCAAATACCAAAACACTTGCGAAAACTGACACGAACTAAGATATCCACGATGTAGAGAAGATGAAAAGAATAATATATTATCCGTTAATCGTAATCCGATCACCGGATCATAGATAAAGAAGTAATAGATAGGCAACTCCCATGTTATTAAATGTGGCCAATATCATACCGATTGTAGCGCTATCGTGTCAATCTCGTGATCTATAATCGATAGTCCGTTATCGATACTAAAACTATCTATCGATACTAGTTATCGATATTATTATTAAATAAACAATGGAAAAATATTTTACCAAGTTAAATATATATAATAGGTAGATTTTAATTAAATTATATTATAATATGTGTATTTTTATTTTATTATTATTATATACCTACCATTTTGTTTTAGAGTACTAAAAAATGCTGTTTTGATTAATAATAACATTTTTTTTTATTAATTCAGCTCCTTAAAATAAATCTCTTGGTAGTCAAGCATTGGGTACAGCCAATTTCTGCCTTTTCATGGATAAGTGCTTTGACTCTGTGAATGGTTCAACTTTGAAAGCTATGGATGGAAAAGCACTCCGGTCGGCTGTCACAACCAATTCAGGTCATCTAGAATTTTGGAATGAAGCAATTAATGTATTCCAGAGTATGACATTTATTAATAGTAAAGGTAAAAAATCTAAGCCTCCAAGTTTAATACATTGGATAGATACATTAAAAAGTTTCAAATTTATATGGCTTAAGTTACATTCTAATAATTTAAAATTTTTAATTCCACGAAACATCAACCAAGATCCATTAGAATGTTTGTTTGGTTCGTCTAGACAGCATTCAGGGCGTAACATTAATCCTGACTGTTTCCATTTTATGACATCTTTTAAAACATTATTGTTAAATAATTTTTCATCAGCAAAATCTCTTAGTTTTAATTGTGAAGCAGATAATTTGGAGCCTTTAACAAATTTAAAAAATTTTTTACAAATTAATCACACAAAAAATAATAATGTCTCGTTTTCAAATGACCTTCTCCTTCAACTAAAAAATAATATTTAAAATCCATCTCCTCATAGTGATATGTTTATAACGTATGTCATTGGCTACATGGCACAAAAAATATTAAATATAACAAACCATTGTCCAATATGTAAAGTAGATATAATTCCGATGTTATATTATGTTAAGTACATATTATTCCGATGAAGTGCATACCCCCTGGGCCCTGATACAAATCAACAAACATGCCAACCTAAATATTATAATACACTGTTGCGCCACTGTTGTATTTTTTACATCCAGATTTCCTACTTTTCCGGTTGATTTTCTTTCGTCAAAACCTTCTCCTGGCAATTATGAACATCTTAAAAAAAATTTGGGCCAAATCAGACCAACTGTTCTCGATTAATGAGTTAACGTACATTTATATATATATAGATAAAAATAAATAAATAAATAAATGTCATTGTGAAATTAATGTTTTGGCCGTTTATTATTATATTTTGTTGCCATGCAAATTTCGCATGTTATTTATCGTATGACCGTCTAAGCAGTTTAATTTCAAATAAATCGCCAATTGACATTTTCGTGTTATTGTGTAAGGTTGAATATTTTCCACTTAATTATGGATCGTCAACAAAAAGAATCACTAAATGTCTTTAAGTTAACGACAGACCAGTTGGAGTTTCTAAGAATGGTGGCTAATATTGTACAGTTTATAATACATAACATTATTTACTATAGTCTATGGTACAAAATATGAATACGGGTATTATATAATTATGCAACAAAACAAAATAAAATATTAATAGTTCTCCAGATGATAGCTGTTTTTATTATGGCGATGTCAAGAACGTCTGGGATATGATTTGGGTTTGTTGGATATCTAGTTAGTGAGGTAGGATCTGTAACTGTTGTGTCTAGTCTCGACACGTTAGTTAGTTAGTCAGGACACGTTCGATTCTATTATATAGTCCAGCGTTGTCCGTGAAGGGAGCAGTATATTTACAGGTAGGCAATGAGGTAGATAGCAGACTCCGTTAAGTGAGTACATAATTTCAAAAGTTTTATTAACACGTTGTTATTATGATGCGCATGTGTAGGTTCCCAGGAAAACCATTTTTACTAAGTTATATAGTTTTGACCCTGGACTAAGATATAATGGACTGGAAATGACACGGTCGGCGGGGGTCGCCGAGGGGTTTTAGCCCTAACCCAAATTTGATTTGTATCGAAATCCATAACTTCGTCGAATAAAAGGTGCACGAACCGGAAAATTTAGATTTGTATATTCTAATTTTCTTTGGTCATTATGTAGTATTATTTCCCAAATTTACAAATCATAGATTTTATTCAAACAATACAAGAACTTTTAGTTTTGTATTTTTGATCAGTATAACTAAAAAACAAAATTTTAATAAATAATTATCGTACCCATATTATGTTAAAAAAATCTAGTAACTTTCAGATTTACACAAACAACAAAAATATCGTTGCCATGTACGTGAATGTTTCAAAAATCTACAATTCATATCTGTGTCACATAGTTACCACTTGTCAATATTTCTTGTGTTCATTACGGATAAATTTCATTCCTACATATTTCTGTATAATCTTCTCCGTTAATTGTGCCTATATAATATTATCTAATAAATATGTCATATAGATGTGTATCTATGCCTAACATGGCTGCGATGTGTGAAAATTCCTCAGCCAAATTGACAGATATTGGATGGCGATCAACGCCAAATCTGAAGTGTAACCGTACCAACGATATACGAAGACCGGAATCGTCGAAAAATGTTGATTCCAAAGGTTTTCTGGACCGCAGGCTCTGTGTATCTGAGCCGAACATCCCCATACATCCAAAATTAGCTGGCGAGACAGCTGCAGATATTGGGTGTCGATCAACGCCAAATCTAAAGTTTCAGCAGGTCACCAGCGATATACGAAGACCGGAACCGTCGAAAAATTGTGATTTCAAGGGTTTTCTGGACGGCAGGCTCTGTGTATCTGAGCCGAACATCCCCATACATCCAAAATTAGCTGGCGAGACAGCTGCAGATATTGGGTGTCGATCCACGCCAAATCTAAAGTTTCAGCAGGTCACCAGCGATGTACGGAAACCGGAATCGTCGAAAAATTTTGATTCCAAAGGTTTTCTGGACGGCAGGCTCTGTGTATCTGAGCCGAACATCCCCATACATCCAAAATTAGCTGACGAGACAGCTGCAGATATTGGGTGGCGATCAACGCCAAATCTAAAGTTTCAGCAGGTCACCAGCGATGTACGGAAACCGGAAAGTCCGAGACACACACGTCCTCGTCGTTCATTTTGGCGCCAGACAAAGAAATTTTTCAGGCGGCTCCTTTGTTGTTGTGGTTCTATTGACAAGATAGACCATTAATATGTATATTATAGAGTTTAAAAGGTTTTTAAACATCCCCTCCTCTCCCACCCTTATCTCACTTTTGTGTTCACTGGTACTATTCTGAAACCGTTTATCATGTCCTCCATTGTTCTGTATTAATTAAATTAATATTATTAATATTATTATGTTACTCATATTAAACGTATTATTATAAAGAATGTACTATGTATTAATACCTATTTATTATATCTACCTCATTCGCTTTGCATAAATATATATGTAATAATCCTATATGGTCACGCAGGTGGATATTGTATTGTCATGGATGTCATCGATTTTCAGGATAGTAAAAAAATTAAAAATTATCTATACTAGAGTGGTTGACAAATGATTTACTTCACCTTCCGTTTAACCACCCCAAAATCGAGCCATGTACCGGTGCGCATAATATTATATGAGCGATATATTATAAGTCCATGCCTCTCCGTTTCGACTAGTTACGAATTATATTATAGTATTTATCTATTCGCAAGCAGCTCGGTGTTATATGCCTGCGGACAATGTTATTTGTTCTGCATCGTGATATGGAAATAACAGAATACACACTGAAATAAACGTGCAACCATGTAGACGTCTCTGCGGCAAACACCGCGCCGTAAGTTTGAGCTTCAGTGGTAGATAAACATTAATAGGTACTGTTAAAAATCGTGAGTAGTACTTAGAAGACTCTCCAGGCGTTTTATTCGCACACTCCACGCATAGAGTCGGTATATATTATACTGTAATACTATATAGGTGATCCGAGTTCTAATGTTGGACTCGATGGCGTATAATTGTACACCCCAATTTTTTGTATACAATAATATTTATTAAAATTAATATACATATCATCAGCCTAATTCGCAATATTGTCCTAACTCCAAAAATGTGATTTTGGAATTAATTGCGATTAAAATTAAGGAAAAAACTGCATTGTATGATAAAGTTGTAACTGATAAATTGTAACATTTTATCCTCCATATGACATTGATTATTAGAAATGGTCGTATCTCCGATGTGATGATTTTAACAATTAGAAAAAATCATAACTCCATATTGGCATGGTAAAAATTATGAAGATAGGATATTTGCGAATTGAGAGATGAGATAGGAAATTTTCCGATGAAATGTTTTTCCTTTCTCCTGAAAACTAGTCAATATGGAGTTAAGTGATTTGCGAATTAAGGGGTATGAATAGTATTGAAAAAATCTATAAAAATGTACTTTTGTATTTCCAATAATATGGTTTATTAAGTGGTTTGAGAGTAAAAACACCTATTATCAATATTGTAGAAGAGAAGTTAATCTGTGCCTGTATAGAAGTCAAATTTTAATATTTGTAATTACTAAACTCAATAATTCAAATTCAAAAAGTAAAATATCATAAGTTTTAGAGTTAAATATTGGACATTGAAAATAAAATATCGAAAATCGACTCCTATACAAGCCTAGATAAACTCCTCCTCTTCAATTTGTATAATAGGTGTTCATACTGTAATGTCACTCAGTAAGCTATATTATTGGAAATACGAAACTAAGTTTCAGTGTTTCACTAAAATTCACATTTGTAATTAGAGTGTAAAATGTTCCGCTAATGACATGTACGTGCACGTGCGGGTGTGCTCCACTATTTATTTTATACACAGTCACCCACACTAATAATCACTTACTACGCACACATTTACACGACCCGCATGCACATCATTAGAAAATTGCCTATACCGAACTCCTTAGAAACGGTCGGTATGCATACCCCTTAAGATGACGATAATATCTGATTTCTAGATGTTTTTAAATATAATTGAAGACCATATTTTAGAACTTTTGAGATTTTCGTATTGCATTAGAAGTGTCCTTGTGGCGATATAAACTTCCGTTTTTAAAATGCTTCCATTAAGAAGAACTTGAACGCTTAGACATTTTAGCTTTAAGTACAAAAGATATCCAAACCTATCTTGTACCGACGACTATGCAGTATTGGTTGATATACTATCTTGAGAGTGATGAAACAGACAACTCACTGGAGAGTTGACGTTTCTGCGGAAAACACAGCACAGTATACGTTTGATTACGACCAAACGCTTCGGCGATAGGTAAATATTAATACTGCGCCTTGTTAAAAGTCGTAAGTTATAGTACTTACACGACACGTCAGGTGTTATTTGCAGACTCCCCACATAGAGTCGGCGTACTATATTATTTTTATATACATTATATTATATTATATTTTTTTAATTATATTATATTATATTATATTACATACTATATTATCTTTATATGTTAAATGTATTCTGTCCTATGTAACTACTATAACTAGTAGAGATTAGTAATTATTATTGTATTGGTTGCCATTGGTTAATCTAGTAGAGCAGGTACAATCATGCATCAAATCGAATTTTCACCCATCGTCTACCAAGGAGACTGAGTAGAACTTTCTGCAGCGATAGTTACACCCCAAAGGAGTTGAGCAATCACAATTTAATTTTAAGAGCTGTCATTTTTTACAGGAAACTTGTCTCGTGGTCTTGTGACAGTACAAACTTCCGTTTTTAAAATGCTTCCATTGAGAAGAACTCGAAAGCTTGGAAATGTTATTTTTAAATATCCACCTCTCTTGCACCGTCGACTATGGAGTATCAGTCGAAATAG